TATCACGGTCCCAGTAGCTCCCGAAAAAAACGGTTTAAAAAAAAACAAAAAAAAAACACAACTACAAATACATTTCTCCATTTTTGTACCCATTTGTCAGATATTTTCGGGAGCTACTGGGACAGTGATAAAGAAAAATACATCACTCCTGAGTCTGTAAACAGGACATTAGCAAAAGTCAAATACACTGAATACAGACACAAAGAAGACCAAATACTATAGCGGGCAGAGCAGCTTACCGTTCATGATGGTCAAAATATAGGAACAAAATGTAAATATTGAATTGGAGGTATGGGGTTATATTAATATATCAGACGCCCTCTCTTCTGTTTTAGGTTATTACATGCAGAGGTTTTTGGTCAGAATTCTTTAAAGAATTTAGCAGTAGGAAAGTCATCAAGTTTTTTTACATCAACTATGCATTGTTAGTTTTGCAAATTGGTATGTTTCATCAGGCTGCAAAGAAATATAGAACAGTATCATTTGCTTTCCTTTCAGAAGATTATGGCTTGGTAAATTTTTTTTTTTCCCCCACTTCAGTGTGCAGATTGTCATCTGGCCTTCTGCTCGTACAAAGACTGGAAAACTCTTCATGATGTTGTCACACTTCGGGGAATGTAGACTGGAGCCGCTGGTTAAAATAAAAAAAACACACAAAAAAAAAAAACTCAAATGATCTGTGTGAGAAGAAAGAGCAAGAAAATTATCTGACTGAGTCTGAGAAAGTCAGAGAGATGAAAACATGACTGAGATCATGAACACGAGAGACAAGAGAGAAAATTAAGGCTGAGTTACAGGAAGGCACGAAAGAAAACAAAGCCAGAGAAAGGAGTGAGAAATTAAGAGTGAAAAGACAGATGGAGAAAAGATGCAGGGAGAGATCAGACCTGAAACAATACAAGCCCTGCACCCCCATCAAGGGCTGACTTGAAACAGACAGCTCCAACCGGCCTGAGCTTATCTGTTGAGGGTTAATGCCCAAAACATACCAAAATACACAAATCTTACATTATAAAAACGGACGCATTATGAATATTTAAATAAACAAATACAATGTTATTAATAGTTGACAATCTTCCTCACCTTTGAGTTGTGCTGAGGCTTTCCATCCATCTCCAGACGATGAAATGAAGAGGAGATGAGAGACTGTCAGAATGGTAAGGAAATAGATGTTAAAGGGAAAGGAGAGCTCCAGGCTCCTGTCCGCCCATAACTTTTCCCCTCATTGTCCTTCTCTCTTCTCCCCTCCTCATCCAGCCTCGCTCGTCTCCCTTCTCTCTCGCAGGACGTCTCTGCTGATGAAAAGGAACAAACACAGTCTGTTAAAAGAGGGATAAAGCTAGCTTGAAATCACACATTTTGAAGGTGGAATAACAGAAAATTCAGGGTGGTTGTGTTTCCAAAATGTAATGCCCGCTTTTCACATCCAATCAGCACCCAATTGTTAATAGAGCTGCACGATTAATCGTTAAAAAAAAAAAATTTGCGATCTCGATTCAGACCACACAATCTCATTTCTAAATGACAACGATTCTCCCGTGTCTATTAAACCTTTGACAAAGTCTTACCGGATCATTCAAATCTGCGTTCACACTGCCGCTGACACCGAGAGCAGTTACCATATTTGGTTAAGAAACCGGTTCACAAACTACACAGTATTATTTTGGTCGTACAGTCATTCATATCACAGAAATACTGGGAAGAAAGTTCAGAATTCAGATACAAGCATTGATGTCTATGGTAGCGTGACCAAAATAGAGCAAATCCACGTTTGAAAGTATTTTGAAATATTTTTACTATTTAAAATAATTTTCTATTGGAATACATTTTAAAATGTAATTTATTCCTGTGATTTCAAAGCAACATTTATCTGAAATAGAAATCTTTTGTAACATTATAAATGTCTTTCTTCACTTTTGATAAATTTAAAGGATTCTTGCTAAAGTATTTAAAAAAAAAAAAAAACTAACTTCACTCAGAAATATATCATGCAGCATGGGATTAAACTCCACTGCAGTAACTAATAGGGGTCGACCGATTATCGGTGCCGATATTAAGCATTATGATTATTGTATCGGTCATTTTCAAAACCGATTCGCAGATAAAAACTTAATTTTGAAAATGCGCTATTTGGCTCTGATGCAGCCTTTATTATCCTTTATTTTACTAGGAATGATCCCATTGAGAAAGTATTAAAAAAAAAAAAAAAACTAACTTCACTCAGAAATATATCATGCAGCATGGGATTAAACTCCACTGCAGTAACTAATAGGGGTCGACCGATTATCGGTGCCGATATTAAGCATTATGATTATTGTATCGGTCATTTTCAAAACCGATTCGCAGATAAAAACTTAATTTTGAAAATGCGCTATTTGGCTCTGATGCAGCCTTTATTATCCTTTATTTTACTAGGAATGATCCCATTGAGATATAAATCTCTTCTACCAGGGAGTCCTGGCCAAAATGGCAGCACAGAAAGTTTCACATACAGATTAAACACAAAAAAAATATATATATATCAACCAACATCAAATCAAATTACATAAAACATTCACAAGTTTCTTCCAGGTAGAAAGATTTCTAAAAATATTTAGAGATGGAATTGTTTCTAACATAACACTCTGCATTGCATTTCATTCCATAGCCTAGGACCATAGGAGGAAAAGGCAGTTGCCAAATTCAGAGTATACTCTGGGAACAGTCAAATGTAATTTATAAGAGTTTCTAGTGCTATAATTACAAGTATAATATGATAAAAGATTACAAA